TATTGTCATTCTCACCAGCTACACGCCATTGGCGGCGGCCATTACCGCAGCCGGGGTGTCTCGGGGGCCGCGACCTGGTTCCTGGCTGCGTCAAGTCCATCCCCACCATCAGGGGCCCTGGTGAAGGGCAGCCTGGGACTTAGACTCCGCGCCCTGAGGGACTTCGGTCTGTTGGTGGTGGTTGTCGTCAGCCAGTGCGTTACCCTGCCACTAGGCCTACCTGTCCGTTCCACAGCCCTGCCCTGACACCTATGTAATAAATCAATGTAAAATAAAAGGGCTACTATAGTGCCCATGCAGTAGCAAAAGAACTTTATACAGTACTTATCTCTCCCTCTTACATTACTGTCCAGACCCTAATCAAACTTCTTACATATTCTCCAGTCACTGTGCCATATGTTTGGCTGCTGTCTCTGAAACATGCCATTGTTATTTTTTCATTCACCTTCACAGCTGCCTTATTTCTAGAATGCGGGTTTGTGATTCTGAGGTGTTTTGGTGCTCTCTGGGTTGACATTTTGTTATACTTTGTAGACAATATAGCTATGCTATGTGATTTGTTTTGAAACAAGCAAATTTAATAAAGTTGACAGCATTAGGTTTAGCTTGTTTTTTCACATAATATACGTTGTAATAGATTTGAGCTACAGTATATTGTCCCAGTTACTTCCAGTGCTTAATTATGGTCTGTTACTGATACACCAAAACATTGTTGTCTTTTGAAAAACTACCTAATAAAGCCTTTTTTCTAAATCAGTCATGTTAGGTTGTTGCTGCTGTATGTACGCCAATGAATAATTTAAAGGTAAACCAAATTATTACTCTCGTAATTTATGTGATGCCTCAATATGGTACCACTGATGCTGTTCTAGGAATCATAATGTTCTGTGAAACTACATACAGCTTTAAGGCATCCCCTGAGTATATAATTTGAAAGCTTTTTATATTTTCAATGTGCCATTTAAGCCACCTAAAAGACCTTCTACCCACTGAACAGTAAATTTAAAAAAAAAATAATTTTCATTAGTATATATTCCTCTGGCCACTGTCCAGTTCCCCATGCCCTTGGTTTGACAAGCTCTTGCATATTATCCCAAAAAATGGCTATTACTGATTTCTAAGATTCAACTCACTTGACTTCAATAGGGTTCAGATGCAGGGTTTGAATATGTGTACCGTATTTTCTTTGAACTGAAGCTAGGTACATTTGGCTCATCTCTAATTTTAACCGGCAAACAGTGGTCAATGACATATTTCTATGAAGATGTATACATTCAATCTGTTCTGATTTTATGCAAGAACCATGTTTTAGGACCTGTCAATAGCATCAGTTTAAGATGCTTCTAGGATCCTTCAAAATGAATTGACATTTGACCTGCAGTTGACCTCCTTCTGGCCTGCATTTGACATGCTTCAAGCAGGCTTTGCATTTCCATAGACTTGTATGGAAATGGCAACCCCGTCTAACAATACCAAAATCCCATCAACACAGGCACCAAAAACATACTGCTTCATAAAAATTGGGTAGTTCGGCTGAGATATGGGTATATTTTTATGTATTGGAGTGGGTTGTGGGGTGGAGCTTAACTGTAGCCCAATTTTAATGTTGGCAGGTTTTGAACTTTTTCACCCACAGAGTATAAGTGTGTTTAGAATCAAAATTAGGATATTAACAAATTTTAAAAGTGGAAATTATGGTAGGTATTGAACGTTTTCACCTACTGAATAGAAATGTGTTTGGAATCATAATTAGGAAATTAATACATTTTACAAGCGGAAATGTTGGTAGGTATTGAATTTTTTCACCTGCTGGGTAGAAATGTGTTTTGAATCATAATTAGGATATTATTAAATTTTACAAGTGAAAATGTTGGTAGGTATTGAACTTTTTCACCTACTGGATAGAAGTGTGTTTAGAATCATAATTAGGATAAAATTACATTTTTGTTAGGAGCACCAGTCAGTCTATGTTCTGGAAGATTTTTGCTCTGTCCCTTTCTTCCTCCTCAGTGAGGAGCACCATATGTCTGTGCTCTGGTGGGTTCCTGCTCTGCAGCTTCCAACTTCCCGCTAAAACTCAGCAATAGGTACAGCTTTCACCGGCCCCTCCCATCTCATTGGTTGGCATTGAGGCCGACACACTATTTAAATCCTTCACAAGCCAAGTACACCTGCCTATTTGACCTGACTTCTGTTATTGACTATGCTATTTGGATTGCTGCCAGATCCGACATCTGCTTATTACCAGGGGCGGACTGACCATTTGGAAACTCGGGCAGTGCCGAGGGCCGGGGTCAGTAGGGGGCCCCAAGAGATGCCCCTGGTACCTTTTTCATAGGCTTTTTTGAGTTTGGGTAAGGACACAGGGGCCCCATGATCCCCTATTGCCCAGGGGGCCCCATGACTTGTCAGTCCGCCCCTGCTTATTACTTTCCACACTGTTTGGGTTGTCTTCAGCTTACATCAGTATGCTGACAATTTGGCTAGGCCTGGTGGGCTCCATTAAGGACTCTCTGGTTCACTATCCTGCACACTGCTATCTTAAAGGAATCTGTAGGGCTAGCTATCCAAGTGGACATTTGTCTCCATAAAAGGCATTCTCAATGCTACTCTCCTATGCCTCAAGAATCCTATTCCTGGCCACCTTCTCTGGGGCTCTCCACTCACCTCCTAAGGAGCTCATGGAAATAGGGGCCACTCACCTGTCTCCCAAAAAGAAACTCAGAAGGAGAGCTAATGGACTTTGTTTATATTGTGCTGTGAAGTATCTAACTGCCCTAACAAGTCAGTAAATGCTAGTGTCTAGAGTGATCTGGGAGCACCGCTCTAGGCAAGTAAATGTCAAGTGAGAACTTGCTCTTTGTACACACCACTCTCACTTTAGGGTCTCTGACTCACCACCACCTGTCTGTCTTTGTGGATCCTTGCATCACATGCATACCCTTTCATTTTAGACTAGCCCTGACAATCCTTATATTGACTGACTTGAAAGGATGGTCATTGCCTGGTCCTAAGAATCCCTCTGTAAATGTCTTATGGGCATCTACTTCTTTGCCATTTTGATCCTCGTAGATTTAACACCCTACACAGACTGATGTCTGAGGAAGCAGCATCAAGTCTACCTTCTCATTGGTCATATGACTGTCTCATTAACCTGTTGTCATGAACTATCCCAGCTAGGGGAAGAGTATTTTTAAGCCACAAAACCAAGTAACGAAAGCATACATTAAAAATAAACTTGAAATTTGCTTTAATAATTCATCCACCTCCCTTAAGGGAGCAGGGTTCTTTTTCATAGAAAAAAAGGACAAGTCTGTTTATCTTTTCATTGATTACTGAGGTCTAAACCAGATTACTATCCAAAAAATGCCCACTTTCAGTCATCAGCAAACTTTTCAGCTGGTTTCGGGAAGCATGTATCTTTACTGAACTGGATTTACACCTTTTTTCTAGTTGTAATGTAAAGCGCTGAGCGAACTGTTGACGCTTTATAAACACTGTATAATAATATAATAATTTACACAGAACCTACAATTTTTTTGGCATCTGTGAAGAGGCAAATGAACAACGGCCGTAAATACTCAAAAGGGCCCTTATAAATATGTCATCATGCATTCTGGATTACACAATGCACCAGCCATCCTTTAGGAGTTTGCAAATTACATGTTTTAGATTTTCTGGGTTATTTCTTTCTGGCCTGCCTCAATGATAACTTGATATTTTCCTCCTCTCATAAAGAACATTATGGCCATACTTGGTCCATTCTGTCCAGGCTCCTGCTACACTTTCTATATGCCCCTTCTGTGATACATTATTCAGAAATCACAATGGACCCTCCCAAGGTTTAAGCTATCATTCATGGGGTTCAACCCAGAGACCAAAAAGCCATTCAACACTTCCTTGGCTTTACTAACATGTATAGAAATCAGGGGGGCCCGAGGTCAGTAGGGGGCCCAATGAAATGCCCCTGGTACCTTTTTTATAGGCTTTTTTGGGTGTGCTTTGAGTGTGGGCAATGACACAGGGGCCCCATGATCCCCTATAGCCCCATGACTTGTCAGTCTGCCCCTGATAGAAATGATCATTATTACAGTTATTTTAATGTTATTGTCATACAGAAGTTATCTATCTATAAATTATAAATGTGGATCCTATTACTGCCCTCACCAGGACAGGGGGTAACCTGGTCCACTGAAGCTGTGTCTGCCTTCTAAAAAGCATAAGGAAGCATTTATCTCAGCACCTGTTTTAACTCACCCGGATCCTTCCGTTGTCATTTATCCTAGAGGTGGATGCTTCTAAAGTCAGGGTTGGTACTATGCTGTTTCAACACTCTCCCTCCACCAACCAGGTACACCCTCATGCCCACTTCTCCCTCAGGTTTTCAAACTCCAAGGCTAGGTATGATACTGGTAGTCGTGAACATCTGACATTAAACTTGACTTGGAGAATAGTGACAATAGTTAGATGCTGCAGGCTGTCCTTTTCTGGTTTACACCTACCACAAAAAGTGGGATATACTGTATATCAAGATGGATACACATCTTAACTCCCACCAGGCTTGCTGGCCTCTTCTTTCAAAGTTCAGCATAACTTATTACCCTGGGTCAAAGAAGGTCAAACCTCTTGAATCGGCTTCTGTTTGTTACTGATCATGTTACTTAGATTGCTACCTGACCCATCCTCTGCTTGTTACTGACCACACTATTTAGTTTGCTGCTTAACCCAACCTCTGCTTGTTACTGACCATGCTATCTGGATTACCACCTGAACCAACCACTGCTTGATACTGACCATGTTGCTTGCATTGTCATCAGCTGCCTGTTATCAGCCTGTTTGTCTTCAGCCTATTGACCGACTTCACATTGGTTGTAGTTAAACTTCTTATGCCACCACTGTCTGACACTCCTCGAGGGCTTTCCATTGGCTTAGGCCTCTTCTGCTATTGGTCACCCTCAAGATCTAGCACCATAGTTGGCTGTACTCCACCCAAGGATGGAATGTGACATTCAGTTCTTACCAGGGGCGGACTGACCATTTGGAAACTCGGGCACTGCCCGAGGGCCCAGGGTCAGTAGGGGGCCCCATGAGATGCCCCTGGTACCTTTTTCATAAGCTTTTTTGAGTTTGGGTAAGGACACAGGGGCCCCATGATCCCCTATTGCCCATGGGCCCCATGAGTTGTCAGTCCGCCCCTGGTTCTTACCTTTACCTAGTAGTTTTATAAGTGGAAATGTTGGTAGGAATTGACCTTTTTACCTAGTTGGTAGACACATGTTTAGAATCATACAGTAATTAGGAAATAATAATATCACAGTTTTGTGTACCTATATCCAGGGCTGCTGTTGGAAACCACTGGGCTCCATACAGCCAACATGACAGCGCCCCCCCCCTCCCCCCAAAAAAATACACAGTTTACTATACTCCAGCTATGAATGAACACAGTGAGTGATTATTACCTGTCATTCATTTTGTTCATTTAAGAAAGGAAGGGGCTAGTAAATGTGACATATTTACTGTGCCCTTCCTCCACTCTCCATCTAAGAGGATCTTATTGTGTGCTTGCAGCCGCTGGTGGGAAGGAGAGGAGGGAAGCTGGCAGCACTGCGGGGATGGGGGCACACAGGGGAGCCTGGGTACCAGGGGGAAATGTATGGCGCACAGGGAGGGCAATGGGTGTGGTGGTTGCAATTACTTGAACCAATTCCCTGTACGTCTCTCTCTGCAGCAGCTGAATGCCACCAGGAGGGAGAAGAGAAGAAGCCAGCTTTCTGCTGCTGCAGAGAGAACCATACCAGGGATTGGGTCCAGTAATTGCCCCTTCTGCCATGCCAATCACCCTCCCTGTCCACATCTGATTCACCCAGCTGCCTGGATCCCCTTACTTGCCTGGATCCCCTATAGGAGGACTGGTGGTACCCCCTTATCCACAGCCCTGCCTGTATCATTTAGAGTGTTTTGGTTAAAAGGCATCTTCTAGCAGTCATCTCTGGAGATTTTTCACTCCCCCTGTCTGGACCAGAAAGACAAGCCATTATTGAGAGTAATAGACCTGTTGGTGGTCTACTACAGTTGTTGACAAGCTCTGCACTGTAAAAACAAAGAGAGATTAGGCTGAACTTACTTTCTTAGCGTGGACATAGTTATGAGACATAATAATTTAAGGTTTTTCAGTATTATTCGTGCAGTATTATTTAGCCTACACCAGACATATCCCTGACAGCTTAAGGGCACCGCAGCATCATGAGACTCACCATTGTGTTTTCAAGTCTTGTCTAGAACTAATGGATTGATGACCCCATCTTCACCCCTATTTGCATCTCATTTTGGTGGAAAAAATGCCCACAGGTATGAATAATTTATTTTCGGCTACCTTGTACGCACTAGAAAGCTCAGTGTATATAAGGTAAGTACAAATCTTAACATATATCTAAAGCTCAAACTTTTTTGGAGCTGTATATATGAGGAGTGGAATTCTCTAACAGAAGTTGCATCCGAAGTCCTTAGTGTTAACAGTATAAGAAGTATGGCCACAGATTACAAACACTTAACTGTGCAAACTGCTGCTAGCTTCGTCCAACTTTCACATGACAGCGGCCCCTTTTAGGCATTAGCGAGTGCAGTTCCACAGTGTCCCCACTAGGGCGCCTTAAGCCCCATCCAAATGCATATGATGTTTAGAACATGAGTCCTTTAATTCGGTATTTAAGGGTTAGGTTGGGATATAGATTACAGTGTATCTGAAACCAAGAAGAAAAATATAATATATTGCATTATACCAGTCCTTAAATGTGGTTACTGCTTTAGTTTTCCTTTTTTAAGGCTTTTTTTTCCCTCAACTTTCACCTGGTGATCCTGCCAGTAACCCATTTCTTGTCCCATCTATGGTTGAACAGCATCATCACCGTGGTGCATGAAGTGTGTTAGGACTACAAAACACCTACCTTTATCCTCTTCTCTATAACTAGTCAGTAGTGATGGGCTAAACACCCCTCCTGTTCAGATTCGCGGTCGAACATTCGAACATAATGAAATTTCGACCACAAACGTCAAATACAGGGGACAATTTACTAAGTGGTATCTACCACATCTGAGTATACGATAAGATACCATACAGCTACTAAACACATTCTTTATTGTTTCAGCTGTCAGCGAGATTCTTCGCTGACAGCTGAATGTAAAAAGAATTGCCCGGCAATTAAAAGATGTTAAAAAAATTGTACGAGGTCCCCCCCATCCATACCAAGCCTTTCAGGTCTGGTATGGATTTTGAGGGGAACCCCCACGCCAAAATTAAAAAAGACAATGGCATGGGATCCCCCCAAAATCCATACCAGACCCTTGTCTGCAGAACAGCAGGTCAGGAAAGGGGGGGACAAGGGAGCAGGCCCCCACATCCTGAACCATACCAGGCCACATGCCAATATGGGGTGTGCTTTGGGGCAGAGGGGCTGTCCTCCAAAGCACCTGGTCCCCATGTTGATGGAGACAAGGGCCTCTTCCCCACAACCATGGCCGGTGATTGCGGGGGTCTGCGGGCGGGGGACAGAATTGACTGTATCAACATATGGTTACACTTGGACGTTCTATTTAAAATGTCTCTTTTTCCAAGACACATACCTCCTGAGACATGGTCTCCGACGTAAATAACAGGATGTGTAGCATCATCATTTTGAGGGACTGTTCCTGTCTGGAAACCAACTGCATTTGTCCCTTTTTCACCCTCAATTGTCCCCATTTTTGGCCAGACATCCATAAAAAATGTATTATTTAACTACCAAAGGTATTATAGTACATGAAACCATTCCTCTAACTTCAAAATTACATTTTTTTGAAACGCACCTCCTCTGTGAAGTTCTGAGTTTTAGCATTTGGGGGTTTAGCTGATAACCTTTTTTTCAAATTAAAAAGGATCTTCACTCTGTAAACCAAAATGTAAAGGTCAGCAATTAGAAATACTGTAGCTGTTGACTTTAAAAAAAAAAACCACACCTGTCTCAGGTTCCAGCGCTGTCCTCAACCGACCTGGCTCTTCGGCATCTTCACTGTGGGCAGCCAACTGTGGCTTCACAGCTGGCTGCCTACTGCGCATGTGCCAGTTGTGAATGGCCCTGTGGTCTCTTGGGATCTGTGAGGCTGTGGGGAGAGGGTGAACTTCTGCTCCAATCACCTAATCAGTTGGAGCAGAAGTGGGAGCAAATACATGTCAAAATTAGGTACCCACCCCTCCCCCAAAAAGACATTTCAAATATGGAAGAGGGGGGTGAGGGTAACGAAAACTGAATCTTCCCCTTTTGGGTTAAGTTCCACTTTAATAGTTCACTGTCCATGTAAGGATGGGGGGGGGGGGGGTATGTTGCGTGCTCTTCATCTACATACTTTGTGCTAAAAGATGTCCCTCTTTGTTATCTCAAAAAGTTGGGTGGCATGGAGGGCATTTATCTTGAAGTTGAAAGGACATTATTATCTCAAGGCTTTTGCTGGTGCAGTGGAGAGTAAAACAAACTCTAGCAGCATGGAGACAGGCTGGGAGAGTCTTGCTACAGGCCTAGCTATCTAACAGCAAACAGGAGAGGCAAGAGTGGAACATACCAAATACAATAAAAATAATATTATTAATAACAACAGTAGTAGTATAACAGGCCTATAATGGGGTGTTAAGTCCTTTTTTAGAATTTAAATAAATAGGTCCTCCTGCACTCCTATGTAAATGGTTAAGATTTAGTGTTGATAACAAAAAAGCAGCTCACATCCAATCCTATACCATAAGGTCTAAATCACATACAGTATATAATAACATGATGCAGCGCTAGTAAAACCTTAAAATCTCAAAAATCATGTATAATAATGATACACAAATACACAGAATACACACATGAACGTGATTGAGCAAAAAAGTGACCCCAATCCAATCGTGGATCATAAAAACGTGACCCCCAAGTCCTATAGGACACAATAATAAAAGGATGATAAGATACGGATCCCTAGAAGGGATCAAAACAGCACATTAGGTGAAGCACACAGTGACTAATAAAGTCCATAAATCAGTGTGGTGATCATCCCATTCATGCACGTTGTGGAAAAAACAACCTCGATGTGATCCCCAACGGTGTGGCTAGAATGGCCTCTCACCTCCACTTCATGACCCTGCAGGGCCACAAAGCAAAAAGCTCCTCTGGATCCTCAGGATAGCCAATCTATCACTAAGATGACGTCCCAAGGTGAAAAACATTCCCTACCTCTCCCCTTCCCTCAAAGCACCACCCCATGTTGAGGGCATGTGGCCTAGTATGGTTTAGAAGGGGGGGCGCTCTTACTCGCTCGCCCCCCCCCCTTTCTGCATGCTCGGATAAGAGTCTGGTATGGAGTTTGGGGGGGGGGGGGGAGCACCACACCATTTTTTTTTTCATTTTGGCATGGGGCTTCTTCTCAAAATCCATACCAGACCTGAAATGCCGTTTTTTCAATTATTTTTTAATTGCCATCAAATCTTTCTTTTACATTCAGCTGTCAGTGGGAACCCCGCTGACAGCTGAAATATTAATGTTTGCTTTTCACTACTAAAATACCGCATGACTTGATAAAATAACTCATGCTGTATTTTAGCAGCCTTTTTAGTGGATTCAAATGTTTTTTTTCTTTTTTAAAATGCTATGTGGTATCCTACCACATACTCAGATGCGGTAAGATACCGCTTAGTGAATTGTGCCTTGGATATGGACCAGCCAAAAAACGCTTCTGAACACAAAGGCTTATAAACGCGTTTACACGTGTTTACAAACATTTGAAACCAGTAAAATCTACTCCTGAACGCAATTTTGCTGCATCAAAAAAACGACTGTAAATGCAGCTGCCTGTAAATGACTGTAAACGACTATGTGTATATGGCCACAAAGGAAAACATTAGGGAGAGTTCAGGGGCTGCTGAAAAAAAACTCCTGAACGTCAGTTTATCAGCTGCAATGTACATGAGCCCTAAGGACTATGTTAGGTTGTTCTGAGGAAAGGTAATGCTATCCCCTAGAGCCAGTAGCTGAATTAATGGTTATTATTTTCTGTACAAAGTGAGTGAAGTACATTGTGTTACAAGGCCTTGCTCTACCTACAACAGGGTAGACCTTGATGTTGGTGAGAATCCCCGCTACTAGGGTATCTAGGCCTTTCCTTCATGTTACAGGCCACTTGTGGCAGCCCACTTGCTTTAAAACAACT